GAACAATTGCCACAACAGCTGTTGAAAAGAAGATTCTCCATAATAGTGCACTCCTCCACCTACAACGGAAAACCCCCAGACTAGTTTAATGAATCATTCAAAAAATGACAGTTTGAAGAACATATATAGTGACCAGCCAATATGGCAACTTATGAACTTAATATAAGAAATCCATTGAGTTGAAGAGGATACTTGACACAACTGAACATACCAAGATGACATCTCCTCAAGCGCGAACAGGACACCACCAACCGGAGCACGAAACGAGGCAGCAATACCAGCAGCTGACCCACAAGTTACAAGATCTCTTCGATCTCTATCATTTTTGAAAAATCTGAGCCATCTCCAGGTCAGTCTATATCTTTTGGAGCCACCCTGACCAAGTATAGATGCAACACAAGCTCCAGTATGCACCATAGGCCCTGCCTTACCAATGAGAAGAGACGCTGACACTGCAGATATGTTCCCAATGATCTGTACCCCAATCAAAGAGCGATCAAATACAATGTTCTAACAAAAACTTGCGCAATTTTAGAGTTCTATCGCACGAAAATCCTTACCTTAACGACCAAAGTGCGAAGTGAGAATATCTCTGGTGCATCGACACCGTTCAAATAAGCCTTCACCTCCGGTATACCGGAACCTGCCGCAGCAGGCGCAACAAAAGCGGTAATCACCGACGCAAAAAGAGTAAGAACCAGATTGGTAACAGAGAAAACAACAAAGCCCATACCAAACCTGAAACAATTTCAACTCTCCATTCAAAATCCAATCATCAACATTACAACCAAAACAGCTAAAAAAAATAGGAAAATGCAAAATTTCACCTTCCGGCTATCATCATGTTAGAAGTAACAACGAACTTAACACCAGCGAGATTCTCAACGGCGAGATTATTAGCGAATCCGATGAGACTAACAATAATGCCGATACAAAAACAAAGCAGCCACTTCATAAACACATATTGGAAAATCTCTACCTTACTACGACCTCTCCAATCCTGCTTGAAGAAATCATTCTCCGCGATCCTAAATCGAAAGCGTAACAACGAAATTTAAGCTAAGAAGAAGTAAATTGAGGGAAGAAGAAGCAACGGTAAGAGTTTTCGTACTCGTAATCGAGACTTTCTATTGGACAGACGTTGGCACCGACGATTGCGACTTGAGAAGTAGAGTTAGTAGCGCGGCGGAGGGAGGGAAGTAGTGGAACGGCGACGGAGTCCTCCGTCGTGGAGTTCGGCATCTTGAAACTTTGACGGTTGAATGATTCTCCGGGGAAGTGAATTTTTGTGTCAAATGATTGGGGAAGATGATGATGATGATGATATTGAACTCTTTTCCACTAGCTAAGAGACAGTTACAGGTTTGATTTTTTTTTTTTTTTTCGTTGGGATAATAAAAAAGTTGGGTCTAAATTTAGAGTAAATTAATTATGGTCCCAAATAGGAAAATTGACTAGTTTGGAAAAAGATTTGAGAAATGAATATTTTCTTTTCTTTTCTTTTTCTGATTTTTTTTTTTTGCAAAGTTTAATAAATTAATTAAAATTATAACCTGTTAAAAATGTGTGGAAGCTCCCTTGCCCCATTGGTTGACCAAGGGTTAATTAATGCTTCTACACCAAGAGGTCTGGGGTTCGAGTCCCAGATATTGCGATTTATTAATAAATTTGCAGATTAAAAGAGGCAAGTGTGCAGGAGATCTCCAGCGAAGTACAATTATAGCCGTTCGCCAGGATTCTACGCAGAGAGAAGTGTCGTCAGGTCTTGGATCATTGAAGGTGTCCGTCAAGAGCATGGAGAAGGAAGTGTCGTCTGTTGTGGATCTAATAAGGGTCGGAAGGAATTGTCCGTTGTAGAATCGTCTATGTAACAGTTCTCATAATTTGCAATAAATAATAAACGTAGACGTCAAAAAAAAAAACTGTTAAAAATGTAATGTTAAATAAGAAAAAGTTACAACAAATGAATATTGAACTCACTAGACCTGTGACCGGTGAGGAAATCCGTATGGCAGCCTTTAGTATTAAAGGAGATAGCACACATGGAGCGGATGGAATGTCAGGGCATTTTTATCAAACGTATTGGGATATTGTAGAACCGCAAGTGATCAAAGAGGTTCAACAATTTTTTGAGTCTGGTGTTCTTCCTTCTGAATGGAATTTCACTCAGATTTGTCTACTTCCCAAAAAGCCAAATCCTTCTAAGATGACTGATCTAAGGCCCATAAGCCTTTGTTCCGTCATGTACAAAATCGTCTCTAAGGTACTCTGTTCTCGGATTAAGAAGTTTCTACCTTTGATTGTGTCGGACACACAAGGAGCCTTTGTTGCAGGACGCCTAATTTCCGACAACATCCTCCTAGCACATGAAATGGTCCATGCACTGCGAACTAACCCAAGATGCGATGAAGAGTTTATAGCGATTAAAACCGATATGTCCAAAGCATACGATAGGGTGGAGTGGAATTTTCTTGAGGAATTACTCTTAAAACTTGGTTTTAATATCAAGGTGGTTCTTTGGATAATGAGTTGTGTGAGGTCTGTTTCATATTCCGTTCTAATGAATGGTGGATCTTATGGTTTTATTAAACCGGAGAGAGGTATACGTCAAGGAGATCCATTATCACCCTTTCTCTTCATATTATGTGCTGAAGCATTGGTACATATTATGAATAAGGCTGAGACTGAAGGACGACTCACCGGTCTACGCCTGACAGCTAGTTGTCTGTCTATCCAACATCTTCTTTTCGCAGACGACAGCTTGTTCATGTGTAAATCAAACTTCAAAGAGTGTTCCAAATTTTTACAGTGTCTTAAGTTGTATGGTACGACATCGGGTCAGGAAATAAACTTCCAGAAGTCGTCAATCACCTTTGGTAAGAAGCTTGATCCATACATGAGAATACTGCTTGGTTTATTCACGGGCATCGAACAAGAAGGTGGAGCGGGTAAATATCTAGGCCTCCCGAAATGTTTCAGCGGTTCCAAGCGAGAACTTTTAGGTTTCATCACGGATCGACTTAAAGTGAGACTAGGAGGCTGGTATGAAAAGACACTATCCTTGGGAGGGAAGGAAGTTCTTTAAAACCAGTGGCTATAGCATTACCGGTTTATGCAATGTCGTGTTTCCGATTGACAAAGCATCAATGCCAACAAATTACTAGCGCCATGTCCAGTTTTTGGTGGAATGCATGTGAAGACAAGAACAAAATGCATTGGGTCTCATGGGAGAAGTTGTGCAAATCATAAAGAGGATTGGGTTTTAGAGACATTGGAAGATTCAACCAAGCCTTACTTGCGAAACAAGCTTGGCGGCTCTTAGACGCTCCGGACTCCTTGGTTTCCCGTGTTTATAAAGCCAAATATTTTGCTACGAAAAGTTTCTTAGAGGCAAAAATTGGCTATAGACCGTCGTATGCTTGGAAAAGCATCTTGTTTGGTCGGGAACTACTAGAGCGAGGCCTAATGAAATCGATAGGGGGATGGTGCTGACACAAGTATTTGGGTTGATAAGTGGATCAGAGATGTCTTCCCGCGAAGACCGATTAATAAGGAATTGATGATGGATCTAAATCTCAAGGTCTCGTCATTGATAACAACACAAGGAGCTTGGAATCTACAACGTTTAAATGAGCTTTTCCCCCTTTGTGATGTTACTCAGATTAGCTCATTCCCTCCGGCACCGACTTTAAAGGACAGATTTGTGTGGGCATACACAAAAGATGGAAGATACTCTGTCAAAAGAGGGAACTGGGTCTTGGGACGGGAAGCAACAGCCATGGAGATAGTCCCGGAAAATATTCAGAGTTTAAACAAGATCAAAGAAAAGATTTGGACTATTCTAACAGCTCCTAAAATCAAGTTATTCTTATGGCGTGCTCTTTCTGGGGGGCCTTAGCAGTTGCTGAGTGTTTAAGGAAGCATGGTCTCAACATACAACCCATGTGTTCAATTTGTAACAGAGAGGAAGAGACGGTGATTCATGTATTATTCACCTGCTCTTTGGCTTGCCAGGTTTGGTATGATTTTAACGTCCCATTACCAAGCCAAGGTTTCTCCAACTCTGTTTCGCGAAATCTAGAATATGTCATGGACATGATTGGAAAGACAGAGTTGGATCCGCGGTTTCGCACTGCAATTCCATGGCTGCTATGGGAGATTTCGAAGGCTAGAATTTCTGTATTATACGCAGCTAGAACTCTTGATCATCACTTTTGTTATCGCTACGACCTTAGAAGAAGTGGAGGAATGGATACAACAGAATCAACGCACTTCACAAGAGACAGCTTGGGACACAAGGAATCGATCCCGAGTCCGTAATTATTGGACTAAACCAACTGTTGGAATCTTAAAGTGCAATATACATTCGTCTTGGATAAATGAGGAAAGTTTCTGTGGAGGGACATGGATCATAAGAACTCACACGGGTGATGCTCTCTTTCACGCTCGGGACGCTTTTTTGCCTTTATTCAACAGGATTGCAGCAGAGCTCAAGTGCATCCTCTGGACTTTACAAAGTCTGCATGATCTTCATATCTCTTCCTGTGAGGTGTGGACTGATTGCTCGGCAGCAGTGTCGGCTTTGGAGAATCCACAAGAATGGCCAAAATATCGTTCTGTCCTTTCAAAAATTTTGCAGGTTATACGGGTGATGGGGGAGGTATCATTTAAACTCTTTTCGCCGAAAGCCAATTCTTTGGCTAGGGTTATAGCCTACAGTGTTACCAGAGACGGACGCCTCACCTCATATTTGGCGTTAGGAGGACTTTCATGGCTCCAAGATCGTATTGACAAAGATCGTCGCTCACACGGTTAAGCTTTAGTTCTTATCACTCTGTTCTTAATTGTTTTGTTTCGTTATTGTTTCCGGTTTTTGTGCTCTTCAACTTTGTATTACTCTGTTTTTATCAATGAAATTCAGTGGAAAACAAAAAAAAATACGAAAAAGTTACACTCTTTTTATCATCAAATGTATAAAAAGTGACAAAGCAGAATCGTTCGCCCTAGTTTCTTTCCCAGACTCGCAGTTCGAGGCGCCGATTAAAGATTTCTCCATGGCTTTTCTCACCGGTGAGGCTCCTTCGGCGGCAGCGTTCCACTAGATTGGCGATCTCTGCTGTCTTCTGGTTTTGTTCCGGCTCTCTTCCGATAAAGTTTCGGGTTCGTTTTCTGGCGTATTTTCGTTTTCTTACCGGCATGGTCCGGCGTTTTCCGATACTCTTCCGGTCTTGTATGTGTCTTCCTTCTGTTTCCGGGGAGATGGCTGGTTCCTCTTGGGTGGTATCCCAAAAGCCTTCACATCTTCTTCCGTCGACCCTCCTCACCTCACCGAACCCTCCAAAACCCCCAGATCCACCGGATCCGCCGCCAAGACGTAGATGCTTAGAGGCTCTCGTCACCACTTCGTCGTCTCACTCGCCTCACCCCATTCTCGAAGCAGCTCTCGCCAAATTCTCCTTGGATAAGGGCCATATATGTACTCTTTTCAGCGAGCATCCTCGGCGTCCAATGTCTCCCCTCCCTTTCAACTTGATGTCAGAAGGTTTGGTCTCTATTACCCTCTTGTGGGTTGTCCATTGGTATAGAAACGATCCTCTGATAGTTCCCTTTTACCTCTTTATGACGTTTGTAACTCAATATGAGGATGATAGACTTATAGATTTGATCGAAGCTCTGTTGGTATGGATGTAATGTCTCTTATCGGAAGTAGACATCTTTGTAGACAATCTTTGGCGATTGTTGGCAGGCCCGGCCCGGAGCTAAAGCTGGTGAAGGTAGGGCTTTAGGCATCAGAAGTTATTAACCAATTTTGGGGCATCATTTTGCAAAAATGTCTGTGTTATAGTGGTCAGCGCTACTAACTGTCATTTTCTACGTGCTGAGTTCGAGCCTATTTATGACAGAATTTATGTTTTTTTTTTTCCAACAGATTTTCTTTAATGGGCCAAACTCATTTTTGCTTTAGGCAACAAAAGGACTTGGGCCGGCCCTGATTGTTGGTTCTTTGGTGTGAATCTGTTTGTCTCAGGTTATCTCTCGGATCACTTCTATGGTGACTTCGATTTTCCTTGTTTTAAGGACGGTGTTAGGCTTGTTTTAACTTTCTTTGTGGCTAAGGATAGTGGTAAATTTGAGGTCCTTTGTGATAAAATCTCCCAACCATTCCAGTAACCTTTACAGATGATAGAAGAGCATCAAGACACCTTGGCATGTCTTCCCAACGCATCATGAATGACTAAGTCCATTGGCTACAGAATGGGGTTGTTCATGGAGGACCTACTTAAGGCATCGATCCAACTTGGATCATCTTTTCGACCCGTTGTCTCTTTTGCTCTAGTAGCGAAGGAACTTGCTTTGAAAGCGGCGATCAACGCGGCCTTAGCGGTGGGTGTCTCAGGGATGGCTTGTTATTCGGATTGGCAAGAACTCCCCCTTCTTCTCAATGTCGGTGGCCATGCATTTGCAGTTGACGATTTCATTGCTGATATCAAACGTATGAAGACCAAGATTCTCCCTCTTCGTTTCATTATGTTGTTGCGTTTTGAAAATATCTTTGGTTCATGTATTTTTTTCTTCATCTATGGAGTTTGAGCTACCTTAATTTAAGTAATGGTTTACAAAAAAAAAAATATAAGAAAAAGTTACGTATAATTAATGGAGTAATCTATTACAATGAAGTTAAACTACCACAAGATAAATATATATTTGAAGATTAATTTAGAAATCAGCTTTAAACTAAAGTATTGTATCGATACTGTGCACCCAAATTTGAATATGACATAATACATATTGTCGATAAAAAATTACAAATAGGAATTTGATTTTTATCTTTGGTTATTATTTCAAAATTTCATTTTATGAATTTCATAGATGGATATATAAGTTGAAATTAGTTGAATATCGATATTAACTATAAAAATATCGGGAAAATGTCAATAAAATTGCCAGTTTTTAAAGATGATTGAAAAAGCACAAAATTTTCAATAGACACATTAAATCTCCAAATTTGATTTAACTTTTTATTTATATGACCAATTTTTAGTGACTAAGCCAAATTAGTTCAATTGTTAAGTTGGTAGAGATAAAGGAGCTCTAAACGGTTTCATCAAACCATTTAACGACATGACTAATCTGGCTCATTCAACAAAAGTTAGTGATTAATATGCAAAATAAATTAAACTTGAGGATTTTTTGACAATTTTAAAGTTTATTTTATTTAAGATTATTTACAACAATATCATCTAAAAATTAAAAATGTATGCATAATATCTATCACCTTGTCAGTGGTGTAAATGAATGACACTCTCACTAATCTCTTAATTAAAATTTGGGCCTATCTGATATATGCTATGGGCTATTATTATTATTTATGAAAACCCATCATTTTGATTATGTAACTATGTATTGGGGTCATTAGTAAACACTTTTAAAGCTTTAGAAAAGTTTTAAAGTCTTTAAAGTTTTTATTTTCCCAATCACATTATTTTGGCTTTAAATAATTTTAAAGCCTACAAAGTCCTTCTTTTTTTATTTCCTCTTTGAATTTAGTTTTTTTGTAAAGCCATAAAATTAAAAAGAATAAATAATAATGGTTTTCCTTATTTTTTTTCCAATATATGAAAACCTCTGATAAAATTCGTTGGAAAATTAATTTTTAAAAAGTATTAACTAATTTACAAATGATTTTTTTTTCTGTTCTTTTAAGATCCACTTATGTATATAAAAAATATCAGATATTACATTTGATACAAAAATAGAGAAATACGAATGTATAAAAACTTCGCATAAATTTTTTTCGTGTGAATTTCGTTGTTATATCACAGTTTGGGTTTACATTTGTTGTAATTTATTTTTATTTAAAATCACCATTTTTACAGTCACAGTTTCTATAGTTTTGTTGGTACCAATCACATTTTAACAGTTAAAGTTTCTAAAGTTAGAGTCTCTGCAGTCAAAGTTTCTACAGCCAAAGTCCTTCCAGCGAAAGTCTCTACAACCGAAAGTAACAGTCGTTACCAATCGGCAAGCTTTGGTTTACAACGTTTGGTCCGAGAGAAACAATAGGTTCTTCAATCTTCAATCTGTTCCATCTTCTCAGATGTTCACCGTGATTGACAGACTGATAAGAAACACGATCACAGCTAGAAGACATAAACGGGATTTCAGAAATTTAATGCTTCTATGGATTCGTTGAGTGTAGTCTGTTTCTGCACTAAAATCATTTGTTGCCATGTTTTTTTCCATTTCTTTTTTTGCCGTGGTAACTTTTTGTAAAACTCCTTTCATTATTATGATATTTACAGTTTGGAAAAAAAAAAAAAGTCTACTTTTAAGTGAACATCAATCAGTGTTGACCAAAAACGACTTTTCAAATAAGGTTGGCGAGGGAACAAAACACATGAAGCCAAACAATAAAAGCCCAGACCCAAACCAGATTATTGTTTTATAAAAGACCTTCTTCCTAGGTCTCAAGGGTTCGTTATTGCTGCTCTCGAACTCTTTCCCGGAAAATAAACCGTCGCTGTTTTCATCTTCTCCATGGCCACTTGTAGCCAGAAATCGGTAAAGAAAGTTTTTGCTGCTCCTCTTTTAGGTAAGCGAAAGCCGGATGATGATTTGGAGACCCAAACGATTCTGAAGAAACATAAGGAAACATCCGAGGAGAAGGTAACCTAAGATGGTCGTCGGATTCCTCTTGTCCTTTGAGAACAGCTTTATTTATACTGTCTGGCTACTCATGTATGTAACAGGAGACAACGAAAGATGTTGCTGAGCAGATCGAGTTGTTGGAGACAAAGCCTAATTTAATCTCAGTGAAGGTATAATTTTTGATAAATTTATATTGTGTCTATTGTTACTTTTTCTGTTGTTATGCTAACACAATTTGGCTGTTAAATTCAGGAAGCTGCCGTACGAAAAAAGACTCTCTTTGTTGGCAATATCCCATGCAAGACTAAAATACCAAATATGTAAGTACCACACTGTTAAGTGTTTCGTTCTCGGAGCATGACTGAGATTCTTTTATCCTTTTACTTTTACAGCATCGATTTCTTCAAAAATGTTGGAGAAATTGTTCGTGTTCAACTTATTCTAAGCCTCAAGGGTACGCATGTGGGCTGTGGCTTTGTTGAGTTTGCTTCTTTTAACGAAGCAGAGAAGGTGAGAGTAATTTGTGTATACTTATGATGAAAATTAATTAGAACGATTGCTGATTAGAGTTTTTTTTTATTCTCTAGGCACTGCAAAAGAAGAATGGTGAATATTTGGGCGATCATAAGATTGTTCTTGAGGAAGCTACTAAGGGAGCTAAATATCTTCCACCCAAGTAAATTGACTATGTTATGGAGAATTTGTTTCTGTAATGTCTAACTTATTGCTAGAGTTTTTATGCCATTACAGAAGACTAACGCTATTGTTTTTGTTAATTAGGTATTGCTTAGATCACAAGGTTTGGTAAGAGATTTTACTCTTTGCATCTTGAGTTTGTTATCAAGGCCACATTGCTTGAAATTTTTGGTTATACATGGAGAGATCACTAGGGTTTTTTATATTCCAGGTGCAAAGACTACCTTCGACGAGAAGGCGGCCTTCCCACAGAAGAAGAGGAGACACCTCTAGATTCTGTTGAGGTACCTGCTCTTATTATCTCCAAAATGTGTCAGGAACGCTTACTGTTTTATAACACAGTTGTTGCCACAAAGTCCAAAGATGACTTACTTATTCTGGGGATGCATCTACTTTTTGCTGTTGTTATGCATTTTAAAGTCCTTTTATCCTTCGAGTCGTGCTAACACACTTGGCTGTTTAATTCAGGAAGTACTCTTTGTTGCCAATCTCTCTCCCCAAACTAAATTATTACATGTGTAAGTAGCACCTTCATTTCCACTTTGCTTAGCGAATCAAGTTTTTCATGTCTGATATATTATCCTTTTTTTACAGCATCAATTTCTTCGAAAATGTTGGAAAAGTTGTTAGTGTTCGACTCATTGTAAACAGTGAGGGTAAGCATGTGGGCTATGGCTTTGTTGAGTTTGCTTCTGCTGACAAAGCAAAGAAGGTGAGAGTAGTTTTGTAGTAATGATGAAATAATTCAATTTATTTGAGAAGCAGTGTATACTAATATTGAAAATATACAAGTAGTTATTTGAAAGTACAATAGATGATTAAATCTTTTATACCGCAGGCCATGGAAACGAAGAATGGTGAATATTTGCACGATCATAAGATTTTTCTTGAAGTGGCTAAGACCGTTCCGTACCCTCCACAACCCAAGTAAATTGATTTTCCATGTTATGGTTTCCGTAACACTGATTGTGACTTATTCCTAGGTTTTTGATGCCATTACAGAAGACTAACGCTATAATTTTTTATGAATTAGGTACAACCTTGCAGAGATGCTTTGGTAAGGGATTTAAGTATTTGCATCTTGAGTTTGTTATCAAGTGAAGTTTTTGGTATACAAGGAGACTCACTAGTGTTTTTGATATTTCAGTTACGAAGACTACCTTCGACGACAAAAGCTTCTGTTAGAAGAAGATGAGACACCTCCTGATTCTGTTGAGGTACCTCTTCTTATTATCTTCAAAATATGCCAGGCTCAGAAGAAACACTTGGCTTTTAAAAAAGAAAAGAATTGTTGCCACAAAGAAAGCTGTGACTTGAGATGAGGCTATTGTTTGTTGGTATGCAATTCAAGTCGTTTTCTCCTTAATTAGAACCGTGCTAACGTGCTTTTAAATTCAGGCAGTTGCTGCAATAAAAAAGACGCTCTTTGTTACCCATCTATCTCATCAAACTGTAATATCACATATGTAAGTAGCACATTTAATTTCCTCTTTCTTTCTTGGAGCGAGTTTACATGACCAATATTTTATCCTCCATTTGACAGCATCAACTTCTTCAAAGAAGTTGGAGAAGTTGTTCATGTTCGACTTATGGTAAACCACAAGGGGAAGCATGAGCGCTTTGGCTTTGTTGAGTTTGCTTCTTCTAATGAAGCAAAGAAGGTGAGAGTAGTTTATAGTAATGATGAAAAGTATGAAAATCTTACAATTTATTTGAAAGTATTGCTGATTAAATCTTTTTACTGTAGGCGCTCGAAAAGAATGGTGAATATTTGCATGATCGGAAGATTTCTCTTGAATTGGCTAAGACAGCTCCATACTCTCCACGACCCAAGTAATTTAATTTTCCATGTTATGTAACACTGGTTAACTTATTTCCATTACAGAAATTAAACTTAACACTATTATTTTTGTAATTAGGTATTATTGCTTTGATCACAAGGTTTGGTAAGGGATTTGACTATTTACATCTTGAGTTTGTTATCAAGAGCACATTGGGTTAAGTATTTTAATACATGGAGAGATAACTTGGGTTTTGGATATTCCAGGTACGAAGACTACCTTCGACGAGAAAGCCTTTTGATAGACGAAGATGAGGCAGTGGAAGGACTTGATGAAACTCCCGATTTTGTTGAGGTACCTCTTCTTATTATTTTCAAAATATGTCAGGCTCAGATGACTTTAATTTTTGTTGTTAATATATAAGCCCTTTTTCCTTAAGAGTCGTGTTGGCTGTTAAATCCAGGAATTTACCGTAAGAAAAAAGACACTCTTTTTTTCCAATCTCTCTGAGAAGATTAGAATATCAAATATGTAAGTAGCACCTATAGTTTCCTCTTTCCTTCTTGGAGTGAGTGAGGTTTTCATGACTAATATTTTATGCTTCATTTTACAGCATCAATTTCTTCAAAGATGTTGGAGAAGTTGTTCATGTTCGACTTATTGTAAATCACAAGGGCAAGAATGTGGGCTGTGGCTTTGTTCAGTTTGCTTCTATTGACGAAGCAAAGAAGGTGAACATTATTAGCTTAGTAATGATGAAAAGTATACAAGTAGTTATTTGGAAGTGTTTGATTGCTAATTAAATCTTTTATATTGTTAGGCACTGCGAAAGAAGTGTGGTAAAAATTTCCTTGGTCGCGATATTTTTCTTGACGTGGCTGAGATAGCTCCATACCCTCTCCGACCAAGGTAAACTGATTCTCCATGTGGATATTTGTTTCTCTAACTCATTGCTATAGTTTTGATGTCACTACAGAAAATTAACGCTATTATTTTGTTTCATTAGGTACAACCTTGCAGAGAAGCTCTGGTAAGGGATTTAACTATTTGGCTTTTGAGTTTTGTTATAAATAGCACATTGGGTGAAGTTTTTGGTATACATGGAGAGATTACAAGGGTTTTTGTTATTCCAGGTACGAAAGCTTTCTGATAGAAGAAGATGATTTGGAGGCCAAACCGAATCTGAAGAAAAAGAAGGTACCTACGATGGGCGAATTTTGCGGTAACAAGATTACCTTCGCTGAAGACTCTGAAGACTCTGAAGGCTATGAAGTCTATGAAGGTGAAGATTAAAGCACATTGGTGTTTTTAACTTTTGATACAATGCAACTTTCTGTTATTACTTCAGTTTTTATTTTGTCCAACTTCAGTTTTTATTTTGTCCAACTTCAGTTTTTGTCTGAACGTAAATAATCTTAATCTTGAAAGCTGTCGTGTGAATTCATTACTTGCCTTCATTTTCATCTTAGTAAGTAAGAGCCGTATACTATTTGAACTGATTTGCTTGATAAACCATAATCTCCCGAGGGACACACATTTTCTTTTCTCATATTTAGTGTCAACTTGATTGGTATTTGGCTTTTTTCGGATTGGGAAAAAAAACATGAAAATTTAATAATTTAGTTAACATATATTTGTATGGATTCAACACCATCCATGATGAAGCAACAAAGAGAAAAAAAAAACAAGAGTAGGAGACAATATACCGTTGTTTTATAGCATAATTAGAAATAATCATGTAAAAGATAAAAAAAAAACACCCCTTTAAAATATGCATGAGTATAGAAAACAAATATATAAGAAGCGATATAAATATATAACTACATGAAACTAAAGACGACAAATGAATATAAAAAGAAATAAACTAAATTAGTGAGAAAAAAACGATAACAAATAATATACACAAAGAAACTCAAAGAAGAAATATATGTTTTGTTTAACAAAATGATATGATCTTATGTAGTGATAAGAGTGCAATTTAGGGATTTTAGAAAGAGATATTATGCTTAGATTACTTCTAAAGTTTGTTGAATTTCTAAAAAAGCCAAACAATATTTTGAGCAATAAGTTTTTTTTTTTGTGACAAGGAATTCTAAAAATTAAATCCAAAAAAATTTATGTGATCCTTTTATATTGCATCTACTTTAATATTTTTGAAGTATAATTGAAAAACAAAACGTTTATTGAGGTAAGATATCACACAAAAAACGTCATTGATTTAACAAACAAATTAGAAAGTTCATTAAGGGTGAATTGGAGAAAAAAATAAATGGAAAATTGGAACGAGTCTAAAATATCCTGATCCCATATCTCGATCCTACTGAATGCAAAAATCTAATTTTTAAGCACAAAATATTTCCGCTTTCGGGTTTTAACATCTAGATATACATTTTGGGGAGGTTTTTGGCCAAAAATCCTTGAACTATTTCTTACTTACAATTCTAATCCCTACGAAAATCTATTTGAGAAAATATTGTCCAAAACGATTTATATCCTTAATTCTATCTTAAATCTTATCTTTTCTTAACTACATTCGATTAATTCCTAATTTCCTAAAATCTCTCTACTTAATTTAAACATAAATATATGATTCTTTTTTCACTTTTATTTGATCTTATATTTAATTTATTTTGAATTTATATGAAATACATATAGTTAAAAAAATATTAGATTTTATTCTACATATGATGTGATTTAAATTTTTTTTAAAATGACATATTTTAC